CGAGCTCGCGTGCTTCGCCGGGCCGAGGGCGCAGCGGTGCCGGCGTGGCCCCGCGGCAGCAGGTCGCGTGCCCGTGACCGCTGTCAAGCAGTGGCGAAGCGTCCTGGCTCGCCTATGGCCCCACCAAACAATGTTCTAATAACCGTTTGTGGATCTCACGAAACGTTCTTAGAACATCTCCGCCTTGGGCTGTCTTGTCTTAACACTTCGGGTTTCTGCCCTAAGAGCCTGTATTTGGTTCTGAGAACATGTTTGGGTTCTAAGAACATTTGGTGGTAGGACTATAGGAATGCCGGGACGGTCGGTCCTTGCTCAACACTTGACAGCTCTGAAGACGCGCTTCTCCCGACGCAGGTATCCGACGAATTTCGTCGACGACTCAAGAACGAAGTGCCACGTCGAGCGCGGCGCCCTCGCTTTCGAGCCGCCGGCGGAGGCGGCGCCGCGCGGCGGCTGACGGGGCTCCCGAAGTCCGCGGCACGGCCCTGGACGTCGTCGGACGCAGTGCTGACGTCCTTGGCGAAGGCCTTCACCGCTCACGGGTCGCCGATCAGCGCGCTGGCTTCGAAGCGCGCTCACTGGTTGCCAAGCGTGACAGCCGCAAATCGAAGTCGCTGCCGTCCATGTGCCACGTGGCCGTCCTTCGTGATGCTCTCGTTCGCGGCGTCGAGGGAGTGCCAATTGGTGGAGGTAAAGATGTTGGTAATGTCTGTCAACTCCGTGGCGTGGTCAATCCCGGCGCTGCTCATTTTCCAGGTGCAGAGCCGTTGCGCAAACGTAGCCGTCTCCCTCGGTCGGCGCGTCATGCGTCCATGTGCGAAGAGAGGCTTCGAGTGTTGATCGAGGGTGTCAGTGGCAGTCACCGCGAACCCTTTGCCGGCCGTGTCGAGGAGATGACTGGCGCGCTTCCAGCTGGGAGCGACGCCCTGGCTCACGTTCCAGATCAGTGGCTACTGTCCTGAGCGATGTAGCCGATGCGTGAATTCCACGAGGAACATCTGAGTGAGTTTCGATTCGACGGTGGGAGTCACGTAACCGACGCCGTAGCCGTGGGTTTTGCGTATTGCTGGCTGCTGTTGCTTCTCTTCTTGCCCCCCCACTGTTGCTTTCATATTTTTTTATAGCCGCGGGGCGACCTCTCGCGCAGGTGTAAAAATGGGTCGCTATCGGATCGTGCGCAGGCGTAGTACCACCCACTATATTTCCAAAGGCGCCGACCATGGCGGGCAATCTCGCCGCTTAGGCTCTCGTCGCATCCAGGCGCGCGTTCCCCACGCGCGATGCTCAGCCCAAACCGGGCCCTCCTCAGTGCCAAGGTGCAAGGACATGCGGCGCCTCCTGCCCCGTGATTTCTCGGTAGACGTAGTCCCCTGCAGTCGCGGCCCAGTCGACGCTGGCGGCTGCAATGCCGCCGAGACCGCAGGTGGGGCCTATCCCTCGGCAGGATCTCCCCTCGTCGGCAAGGCCACGGGGGCGCGACCATCGTCGCGCTTGCGGGGTCCAACTCCCGTGCCAACGGGCAACGTGGCAGCCCCTCATCTTCTGCGCGTCGTCCGCGGCGCGGTGCCTCATTGGGCTCGTCCACCAGCGTGGTTCTCCGCCGTTTCGAAAGTTGTCGGCTTGCCGGCCTCGGCCATTTGGCATGGGCTCGCAGTTGTCACCGCGCTCCGAATCGCATCTTGTGCGCAGGGCGAGCGAGACCCGCAGCGCGATGAACTTCGGAACCGAGCTGCAGGAAGCCGTTGAGGTGACGCCGTAGGGTTGGACAGATCCTGGCCCCATCTGGATGGGCCTCAACCAAAACACGGCCCTTGACAGGCGCGAGCGGCGCTTCTCTGCGGAGGAGGGGGAGAGGGCGGGCGGGTGGAAGAGGGCCTTGAGGATAAGGAGAATGGCGAGGATGGGGGTGGCGAGGAGGAGGAAGGGGGGGCGTGCGCGCAGTTGGGCAGGCGGCCGAGCGCCCGCCGCTGCGCGAAGGGGCGGCCCCCGCAGGCTCCCCGGCGCAGACGCCAGAGGAACGCGCCCCCCCCAGACAACTGCACTTTCTGCAGGCCTTCCCCCCCTACAACATGGAGATGTCCCACCCTCTTCCCCCGTCCTCCACCGCCGCGTCCCCGGCCCATCTGACTCTCCCATGTGACGTCCCTAACCCGCTCCGCTCTCTTCCGAGTCTGTTTCGACGGGCGCGGCCCGGGCCTGCGTTCTTGCGCGCGCGCGCGAGCCGTGCATCGATGGGAGCAGCCGCGCAGTTTGGAGGAGGAGGAGGAGGAGGAGGAGGAGGAGGAGGAGGAGGGGGAGGAGGAGAATAAGACAAACACTGACATGGAAGAATAATAAGAAGATGGAGGAGGAGGAGGAGGAGGAGCAGGACGCGGAGGAGGAGGGTCGACGGCTGGGACCCTCGTCCACGAGGGGGCGGGTCGAGGCTTGTCCTCGATGCATCTCCTCGATCCTCTCCGAATTCCTGCCTGCGAGCAGGCGCGTTGGAGGCGGGCGCGCACGGGGCCGACGCTCGCTCTCTGAACAGACTACTCGCGCAGATCCCGTCCGCAGTTAGCTGGGCGCGAGCCTTGGGTGATCCTCCTCCTCCTCCTCCTCCTCCTCCTCCTCCTCCTCCTCCTCCTCCTCCCCCCCTCCTCCCCCTCCTCCCCCTCCCCCTCCCCCTCCTCCTCCCCCTCCCCCTCCCCCTCCTCCTCCTCCTCCTCCTCCTCCTCCTCCTCCTCCTCCTCCTCCTCCTCTCCTCCTCCTCCTCCCCCTCCTCCTCCTCCTCCACCTCCTCCTCCTCCTCCTCCTCCTCCTACCATTCGCGTCGCCGCTCGTCTCCAGTCACGCCGCGCGGCCGGGTGCAATGGGCGACCCTGGCCATTGTAAACGCAGGGGCGGGCCCAGACGAGGACTCCCGCGACCCGCGCAACGGCGACTGGGTCGAGCGACGCGACGGTCATCTGGGCGACCTCTAGCAGCTAACGGCAGCAGGATCTACCTACAAACGGCGCGCGCATAGATAGTGAGAGCCGTGCGTCGTGCACGTGGCTCAGGCGAAGAAGGTGAAGCCCTTATTGTCGAGCTCCGTCGGGGCGGCACGTTCAAAAACGATCGGCAGGTGGAGGTCGACGCAATTTGGATGCGAGGCGCCGCTTGCGTCCGGCATCTCAATTTGACCAGACCGACCACATCATCCAGTACTTGTTCGGGTCCGCTGGGAATGGGGCCGAGGCCGAGGGCGAAGTGGGTATCCACGCGTGCGCAGTCTTGAAGGACGGCGCAAAGATCACGAAACCACGGCTCCAGCACATTGTAGACTTCTTGAGCGTGATGAACCTATCCCAAGACCGCGGCCCGAGTCGCGGGCGACTTTCCCACTGTTGCTGCGCAGCGGCGGGTTCCAGGAGGCGGCCATGACGCTTCACGAAGCCGGTGGCCCATGAAGTCGGTCGCGAGCCACATCGGTGGACTTCGTTGTTGTTGCCGTGATCCAGCTTCTCCTCACTTTCTCGTCGGGGGGCGCGGATCTCGGGCTGTGGACATGCGTCCCCGAGCTCGTGGATCGCTTCCCTGTGGGCTCCCTGGTGGGCGTGTTGCCGACGTGTTTGGTGCTGTTGCAGCATCATCTCAACTGCCCGTCCAGCCTGGAGGTTGTCCACCAGCGCATTGTTGACACCAGCGCGGGGGACTACCATGCAAAGAGAAGGTTGTGGCTCATCAGTGTCTGCAGCACGTCATGCAAGGATGAGGGCCTGACTCGCACCGCGTTTCTCGTCATGTGCTTGCGCCCGATCGACGGAGTGATCTATTTCATGCTGCGGGGCTGGGGGGGGGGGTGGCGCCGGCAATGTTAGGCCCGCGGCGCTGGGCCTCTCAGATTCTAGGACGTCGCCGCTGCGCGAGGCTATGGGCACGCTGGCGCACCTGGTCGCCGAGATCTCGGTCGGGAACTTGGCGTGGGAGCTGGCCTGCTGGGGCGCGCACGTTGAGTCGGCCGCGCCTTCCATCGCCAGGGGCGCCCCTCGCCCGATGGTCCACGTGCAGCCGTGGAGGTCTCCAGGGTCTCCACGGATCCCCGCCGACGTAATGTGAGCTTGTTGAGGTCCTCGAGGGCTACGCCTGGTGCCCTCAGGGCTGGTGCCCTGTGGTCGCTTCGACACGGTTCGCACCCCATGGTTAACACGCAGCTTCCACATCGGGGGTGCAATGCATGACCCGTCGTTTGGGGCCCACGCGGTGGCATACTTTTTTTACTACTACGGCGATGCTTCCCAGGTGTTCCTCTGAGCCTCCCCCAGGCATTTTCAGCAGGCTCCAGGCGCCCACGCGACGGCCCAGTAGGGCTGGAAAGGACACGGGCCGCTCGAACATTTCCCAAATATGTTCTTTCCTCCCCTTCTCCCTTTTTTCTTGCTGGCCCCACTCCCCTGACCCTCTCTTTGGTTATGGTTTCCTAATTTTGTTACGTGGTACGGGGCACGGGTGAGGATCACAGGACTGCGGCGTCAATCCTCCTCCCCGCCTGATTCTTCAGGCTCCGCCTGCCCCGCCCAGCGTCGCCACGGTTGAACTCGGCCTGGGAAGCTGTGGGCTCCTACCCGGAGGCCTGGACTGGCCGAGGGATGGAGCCGTGGTGCCCCTGGGTGGCTCGCCAGTCTGGGGCCGGGCCCGATGGGCCCGGTTGCCGCATGTTCTGGTCCAGCGGAGCGGGGGCCCGCCGTGTTTGCTCTGGCGTTCTCCTCCTCATTCCTAACCGAAAAAACACACACACAGTGGGAAAAAACACAGAGGGACAAAAACACACACACACACACACACAGTGGGAACAAAAACACAGAGTGGGAAAACACACAGTGTGTGTGTGTGTGTGTGAATGTGTTTGTGTGTGTGTTTGTATGATTTGTTCACCACCGTTTTTTTTTTTGTGTGTGTGTGTGTGTTTTTCCCCACAGTGTGTGTGTATGTGTGTGTGTGTGTGTGTTTTCTCTCCCCGCCGGGTCGCGCCCCGTCGCCAGGTGCCACCGTCCCCCTGGACGACCTCGCTAGGCGCCTCCCGCGTGCCGCTGCGGCGGGCTGCACCCCTTCGCCTCTTCCTCTTCGGCCCTCTCCCCTCTCCCTGGCATCGCTCGGACGTGTGTTTCTTCTTTCGGCGAGGACCATCGAGGAGCATCCTTGATCATTCGGCGAAAAAAAAACAGGCACGAAACCGAACACAAACACAGGGAATGGACGTCCGAGCGATGGCTAGCTCTCCGCCTTCCCAGGGGGGCGCAAGCAGTTGGAGTCCAGGCCCCTTTCCCTGAGCGGTGCGACCGCTCCCGCCGGGAGCGGCGCGGCACGTTCACAAGAGCACCGTGCGCGCAGCGTGCGGGAGGAGCCGCGGGGAGCAGGGGGAGGAGCGTCGGAGGAAAGGAGCGCGGTACCAGCACCACTGCACCACCACCAGGGGTGCCGCCTCCAGCGGTGACGCCTCCAGCGAAGAGGTCCACGATGCCTCCCCGAGCCTTGGATGGGAGATGTCTTCAGCGAGAGGGGAAGGGGGGGCACGCCACCAGGACGGGGTGGTTGCACACCAATGGGAGGGGGGACGGGAGCACACCATCAGGAGGACCATTTCTGGCGGCTCGCGCTGGTGGTGGTGGTGTCACCTACCCTTGCTCCTGGATGTGGCAAGATCCAGCGAGAGAGTTGTCAAGCTGTGAATGTGCAGTTGTTTGTTATGCCTGGCCCCTGAGCGTGCCGCAACGCGTCGTGGCCGAGTAGACCGTGCCCTTCATGTTTAACTACGCCGCGGAAGATATGACATGTTCAAAGGAGTTGCATTTGGTTGCGTGCGGCAAGTCCCGCCGCCGTGCCCGCCCAGCATTCTGGGTGGCGACCGTTCGAGGGTGCACGCGAGGCCGTCACGTGTGCCATTGCGTGTCTCCATGCTTGTGGGAGCAGTGATGATGATTATGACGATGATGATGCTGATGGTGATGATGACGATGATGATGATGACGATGCTGATGATGAGGATTGTGATGTTAAGGCTAGTGAAGGCAGTCGTGATGATGATGCTGATGATGACTATGTAAATGATGATGGTGATGATGATGATGATGATGATGATGATGATGACGATGATGATGCATATGGTGATGATGATGATGATGATGATGATGATGATGATGATGATGATGATTATGATGATGATGATGATCATGGCGATGATGCTGATGATGATGCTGATGATGATGATTCTGATGAAACCGCTGATGCTGATGCTGCTGGTGATGATGATCGTTACCACGGTGAAGTGGAATGTGCTGTTTATGATAAATGTTTTGTTGATCATGTTGATGAAGGTGACGATCATGATGATGCTACTGGTGATCATGATGATGGTGATCAGTGTGTGTTCGCTTGTCGCGCTGGCGAAGTGTGAAGGCACATCATTCAGATTATGTCGGAGGAGGGCGGACGGGGGATGGTCGGCCTGTCGTTGCCACCGAGCCCGCCAGGCGGCAGCCGCTGGAGGACGACCAGCGCCGGCGGTGTGCGGCAAGGCCGCTCGGCGATGAGGGTCTACACCGTCGGCCCGGATTCGTAGGTCGACCCTGCCAGATCAAGGGTACTCCAGATTTCGTAATAAAGGGAGGGGGGTCTCGTTTCGGGGGGGTGGTCTCTTCCAGGCTATCTTGGAGGGCCTGGGGGGTCTGGGGACGATGTTTTGGAGGGTTCTCCCACGGGGGAGGTCTGAAATGGCTTGTCTTGGAGGGTCCAGACCCCCTCCCTTTTATTACGAAATCTGGAGTACCTTCGTGTCCTGTGTTTTGCGACCCATGCCTCTTGCATCTCTGTGGCAACGTGGCCCCCGGAAGGCTCTTCTGTCCTCTCGCGTGTCCTGTCCAATCAAGGCCGACTGCATCAGAGCTGTCCGCGCAATGTTGCACACCAGCGTCTTCCCCGTCCCTATCTTCGAACACCAAGAAGCACCACATTAAACTTTCGAAGGTTCTCGCGAATCTCCTCGTGGGGCGGAAGGCTCGAGTTTTCGGTTCGTGGTCCCCCTCTTGAGCCCCTCTTGGGGCCGTCTTGGGGCCGTCTTGGGCCGTCTTGGGCGCCTCTGGGGCCGTCTCGGGGCCCTCTTGGGCCCTCTTGGGGCCCTCTTGGAAGCCTCTTGGCCCGTCTTGGGGCGCTCTTGGGGGCCTCTTGGGCCGTCTTGGAGCATCGGATGGCCGAAAAGACGACAAGGCCAAAATCCTTCCAAAACTATCGTACAAATTATGATTTTGGCCTGTCGGGCCCTCTTGTGAGGCCTCTTGGAGGCCACTTGGAGGCCTCTTGGGCCGTCTTGGGGTCATCATCGGCGTCTTGGAGCGCTCTGTGGGCGTCTCGGGGGCCTCTTGGACCGTCTGGGGGACCTCTTGGGGCCCTCTTGGACCGATTTGGAGCTCTCTGAGGCTCCGAAAAATAGTGCCGGCATCCTTGAACAGGACTTGGCGGGAGTCTGCAGGGTACTTTTCGTCCAGGGACGGCCCGCCCCGCGCGCGCGAACTGGAAAGATTGTTTACCAGCTACCGGAGATCTTAGCACGCCTCTGGCCCGTTGGGCCGGCGAGTTTGTGTGTCTCAGGGCCCCTTCAATATGAACTTTCGGAGATCCGCACGTTTTTTTTTCGATCGGCGCTGTGCCCCCCCCCCGATGGCGCCTCGGGCGCCTCGGGCGCCGCCCCTTGCGCGCTCCGCGCGCCAGGGAGGCGGATCCAGCGCGGAGTTCCTAACTTTTTGAACCCATGCCGACCACCGGTGACTACGTACAGTCGGGGCACTGAGGAAGGAACCCTTTTCGTTGGGGAGGGGCTCGGTGTTCCTTAGTTGGTTTGCAGTTCGCCTTTGGTTTTGCTTAGGGTTTCGATGGGAAATCGAAGTTAAACTTATGGGACAATGAGACCTCGTTCCTTATTTCGGGTTCCTTAGGTCAACGCCCCTTCTGTACCCCCGCCTCACTTACCACTCAAAGCAATCCCCTTCTCCCGCTTCGATCGCCATGAGTTTCACCCGCATGCCTAGAAAGGTGCCCAGCCGCTTACTGCAAGTCCCGCCACCGTGCCAGCTCACCGCTGTGGACTTGCGCATGCTTGGGGAGCAACGCACATAAGGCCGTCGCGTCCGGTGTTTCGTGTCAAAAGGCACGGGGGCATCGTTCCTGTTTGTCGTGTCTCACGCTCGTCTCAGGTCGGCGAGTTTAGACAACGGCAGTTGGCCTTCTGGGGGCCCCATCGTCGCCTGAACGCAGCTCGGAAAGTTGGTGCGCTGGGACCCCAGGAGGGGTCTGCCTTCGTCGTCGTTGCCCTTCCGTTGTCGTAGTCGTTGTCTCAATCCCGCCCTCGTCGTCGTCGTTTCCCTTCCTGCCGCTTCTTCCCCTCTCTTCGATTGGGGGCGTCTGGGGGGCTTCGCGGGGACGCTTTCGGGGGATCTTGCCCTGGCCATCTTAGGTTGCGTTTGGGCAGTCTTGCGGTGGTGCAAAGATGGGATCTTGGGGAATGGGGCGCCAAGGATAGGGGATCACAAGCTGAACCTTCACTGTCCCCCCACATCCAAAGTGGTGTGCAGTTTCACCCCTTGCCCCCTCTCCTCTTCTCCCTTCGCACACTCACTCACTCACTTACGCATTCATCATCATCGTCATCATCATCATCATCATCCTCATCTTCTTCATCTTCATCTTCATCTTCATCTTCATCTTCATCATCACTCACTCACTCACTCACTCACTGACTCACGCCCTCATCCACTCACTCACACACCTAATTACCCACCCAATCTCTCACACACACATCATCATCAGCATCATCATCATCATCCTCACTCACTCACCCACCCACTTCCTCATTCACTTACTCACTCTCTCACCCACTCACTCACACCCACACTTGAGGAAGTATCAGGCGGGAGCCTCGTCTGTGAGTGAATTGCAGGGAAGTCTCAGGCGGGAGCCTCCTCCCCATGCGGCCTGCACTTCATGTTTGTTATCCGAGCGGGTCATGGGAAACCTATAACCGTCGCCACTCTAGCGCTCCTCAGGCCTGAATCTAGAAGAAGTCTGAGGCCGAGGCCTCGTCTGTGAGTGAATTGCGAGGAAGTCTCATCCCCCTTCTTCTGGGTCTCGCGCTTCATGTTTTTAATCCGAGCGGGTCATCGGAAACCTGTAACTGCCGTCACTCTTGTGCTCCTGCAGCTTGAAGGTGGAATCTTCGTCTGTGAGTGAATTGCGCGGAAGTCTCAGGCGGGAGCCCCTTGCGATGGGTCTCGCATGTCATGCTCGAATCCGAGCCGGTCATCGGAAATTTGTAACCGTCGTCGTTTTCGGGCTCCTCAGGCTCCTCGGGCCCGCGACACGGCCCCGCGACCCACCCGCGTCCCTCCCGCGACCCACCTGCGACCCACCAGCGACCCACCCGCGACCCATCCCGCGACCCACCCAGATGGCTTTGACAGAAGTCTCGGCTTGCCTGCGGCAGGTTCGCTGCATAGTTTTATTGTCAAATTATGCGCCTGCGGCGGGCTTCTTCAGAGCCTCGCAGACTGCCGACGTCGGCGCGGCCCCCCTCACTCTTCTCTTAAGGGCATTCAAGACGCCACTACCCTGGTTTACCAGGCGCTGTGCGCTGAAACTCCTCTTGGGTGACAGGGTAAACCCTGCGTGATATGCGGCGTTCCGATGCACTCTAGGCTCTCCCTGGTACCCTGGTGACATGCGGCGTTCCCATGCACTCTATGCGTGACAGGGTACCCTGGTAAACCTCGCGGCTCTCTAGGCTTTGGGCGTTCCGAGGAGGTTTACAGACCACGCACTTGTAACCCAGGGGAGGGTCGTTTTTTGAGTACTCAATTATTCAGGAGGGAAAGAAACACACAGACACAATTAATCCTCGATTCCCTGGAAATATGGGAACATGTTGGAATTGGGGGGAAGACAGAAACCCAGAAACTATGGGAAAATATGTGGAACGTTTTCATTTGTGTGTATTTATTTGTGTGTCCTGGGGCCCCTGCAATTATCCGCATCTGCGGGGTGCTACGTGCTTACTACTTGCCTCCGTACGACACTGCCCGAGAGGGGCCGGTCTGAGGGGCAGAAGCCGCCTCGCGGGATGCCTGGGCGGTCGGCATGGCCAGGAGGTGGTCGGCGACGGGGTGCTTGCCCGGGCGCTCGCCCAAGCTGTTCCGAAGGAGGGAGCTTACTTTTTTTGGTCGCGGCCGCAAGACGACGGTCAGGCGGCGAGGGCAACGTCCGGGCCACGGGCGAGGCTAATTGCTAAGCAGAGGCGCCGGCCGGCCCCCTCAGACGGCGGCTGCAGGCTGGGTGACGCTGGACTGGCTGACGTACTGCAAAAAGAGGGAGCTTACGCGGAGCACGGTGAGGGACGTCGCTGGGCTGGATTTCCGTGCTCTTATCCCGCGGCCGTGAAACCAGCGCGTCGACCATGAGCGGTGACTGTGCGGTCTATGGGCGTCACGCTGGAGGGGTGCAGCCTGCTGCAATTGGCAGTTGTTCCTTCGAGCAACTTGGCAACTGGGAGGCACCAGCTCCAATGCCCCAGGGACGATTCCACCCGCAACTGCTTGACAACACTCAACTGGCGCAATGACGCGAGGATCCTTACACTTCAGGGCCATGGTTCGGAAGGGTTGGTTGATGGTGGCGACGATGGTAATAGTGGTGGACATGATTCAAGAGTGCGACGCCAACGAGGATGACGGTGACGCTGATGACGACGTCGGTGGAACGACGGTGGTGATGATGACGAAGATGATAGTGATGACATTGGTGGTTGTGATGACGATTACAACGATGATGCGACGAGGATGATGGCGATTGTGCTCATGAGGCCGCTGATGAAGTGAACCACTGACAGGTTCTTTCTGTAGACTGTGTTGCTTGTCATCCGCATGTGAACACAAATTTGGTATGCGAGGAAACCAATTCTTTTACAACGATTTCGACATGCGCGCGCGGGTGTGCGCCCGTGTGCGGTGCATGATGTTATGTCACAGCGTTATGGTTGTTACATCATTTCGGCATGCGCGCATGGTTTGACTGGACATCTTGCCGAGACGCATACTTCGTTATTTTGGTTTCCGTGAGTGCGCGCGCGGACATTTTTATACATACAGGTCTAGACGTTTCGCGTAACCCCACTAGCCCATCCATAGACGATTCTCTGGCGAGTTGCGCTGACCAGGGATGTGGGGCGTCTTGAGGCCTCCCAGGGGCCGCATGGGAGTCTCTTGGTGGTGTCTTGGGAGCCTCTTGGGGCCGCTTCGGAGCCTTTTGGGGCCATCTTGGGGCCCTCTTGGGGCTCTCTTGGGTGCCAGTGCCTTCGAGGACTGCGTGGGCACAGCTTGGAGATTACGGCTCAACGAGGGGGCGGGGGGGCTTAATTAGCCCCCCGCCCCCTCCGGAGCCCCCAACGTCACCTCCCGGGATCCTCTCGGAGTGCCCTTGGGGCGTTGATGGGCGCTCTTGGGGGCATGGTGGGTCTCTCTTGGGGCCATCTTGGAGCCAACGTTTGGCCGCGGGAGCCCTCGGAAGCGACAGGGCGAGCGCGCCACTATCATTGAGGCGCCCCAAGTTGTTGGCGGACGTTGGCCTCCTGGGGGCCTCCTTGGGTCTCCGTTGCCGCTTGGAGCCGTCCTGGGGCCATTCTGAGGCCTCTTGGAGGTCTCTCGGAAGCCATCGTGTGCCAACTTGCACCACATTGCGGCATTTTGGAGGCCATTTGAGAGTCGGGGGCCCTCTTGGAGCCCCCATGGGCCAACAGTCTCCGACGGATGCCCCCCAGAGGCCAAAATTGGCGAACGCACGTATGGTGTCAATGTTCTTTGCTGATCAAACAGGAGGGGGTCGGCTCTCCCCTCCTGGCGCCTCTCAGGGCCTTTGGGAGCGCTATCGGGGCGCTCTTGGGGCGATATTGGGGCCATCTTTTGGGCCCCTCTTGGGTCCCTCTTGGGCCCTCCTGGAGAGGGCCGACATCATTGACATTCCCTCGGTGTTTGACGCGTTCCGGCCTCTCGGGGCCTCTTTGAGGGGGCTCCGAGGCCACTTGGACCCTCCGTCTTGGACTGGTCCTGGGATCTCTTGGAGCATGATCAAAGCCAGCCTGAGCGATGTTGCACTATACTGGACCGTCTTGGAGGTCATCTTGACTCTCGGAGGCCTCTTGGAGCCACCTTCAGCCCAACACCACCCTCTGGCACCTTGCCCCCGCCCCCCCCCCCCCCCCTCCAGGTCCGGGGGCAGGGGGTACTGCAGGTGGGGGGGATGGGCAGACCCCTCCCCGAAGGCAAAGAAGGGGGTTTGAGAGGATATTAGCTGAACCACTCACGCCCTAACTCGATGGTGGGATGGGGGTAGGTTGGGGGATGAGCAAACCCCTCCCCGAAGGGAAAGAGGGGGCTTGAGAGGAGATTTGCTGAACCACTCACGCCCTCTTCCTCTTCCTCCTCCTCCTCCTTCCTCACGCCCTCTTCCTCTTCCTCTTCCTCCTTCTCCTCCTCCTCCTCCTCCTCCTTCTTCTCTTCCTCTTCCTCCTCCTCCTCCTCCTCCTCCTATTCCTCTTCCTCTTCCTCTTCCTCCTCCTCCTCCTCTTCGTCTTTCTCCTCCTCCTCCTCCTCCTCCTCCTCCTCCTGGGAGCACTCAGGCGGGTGGTCTCCGGAGGGCAGTTTCCTTCGCTCGCACGAGAAGGTCGTCGTCATCCTTGTGCTCGTGGATGCTGCGGCTGTGGAGGAGCGAGATGCGGAGGGCGTGGGAGGAGGGATATGATACCCCTCCTCCCGATGTCCTCCCTCCCACTGGTGATATGATGTGGTATGCAATTGTCTCATCAGTTACCGGTGGGGGGACAGGGAGGGAACATGATAAACCAGACGACGACGTCTGTCTTCCCCGTGCGCTCCCTTGGACGCAGTGGCCTTCGCCGCATGCATAAAGCAGAGTCGGCATAATCGATACAATCGCTGCACCCTCCAACCGTGATCAATGTTCTATCCAGGTGCGTACCCTGGCATAGCTGCTATTCTGTCGTATCCGTATCTCCGGTTGTGAACTGGGCAACACCTAATGCGTGGCATGGTTCGTGAGTCTTTGGAGGGAAGGAACAAAGGAAGGTGAGGCTCAATCATTTGTTCGTTCAGGCGCGGGGAGTGCCTCGTTCTCCTCTGCACAGGTCCTGCGGTCGCCGCTGGCCGCCAAGGGCGACCTCTTTCGCCAGGTGGCTTCCTTATCCACGGAGGGCGTGACTGAATGGTTATATTGCAGTGATTGTTCTTTTCTGTCATGGCTCTTGTGCACCGTCCGGATAGGGAGGGGGGCGTGAAGGGAGGAGGAGGAGGTAGCAGGAGGAGGATGGCAGGGAAGGATGATGGGAGGAGAATAGAACGGCGCATTTATAGTGGGTTTGGTTTTGTTTCTTGTCCCCCCCCCTGAGGTTTGTTCTGCCCCCCTAGGGGCCGCTGGGGCATGTGGGAGGCTTTTAGTATTCCCCCTTCTGGCTCAATCCCCTTACCCTTCCGTGTGTTGTTGGTTTTCCTCGGCGGCCCGGTCACTTGTTCCCGTTGACGTTGTTTCTGGAGGGGGGGGGATTGTGGGGGGCTCGTACCCAGCGTGCCGACTCGTTCCCAGCACGTTTTGCGCTGCCAGCGTTGTCTGCACCAAGCTTACACCCTAGGCGATGCTTAAGAAAACCTGAGTTTTCGTCCAGATTCTCGATTACTCTTAACTTTTCAATGCAAATCCCAAGATTTTGATAGAAGTTCTGGGTTTTGGTCAATTTCTGAGACTATGAATTTCTTAACCCATGATTTCATAAGCATTTCGCAGGATGTATACCCCCATCCAGGGGGGTACGTCGGCCAGTGGGGCCCAGGCCACGCCGCGGGGGAGGGGGATCGGGTAAACGATACTCAGTTTGGTAGCCTCCCCAGGCCCCTGGGGTCCTAGAGGGGGAGGAGGGGGAGGGGGGGGAGGAGAGGGGGAGGAGGGGGGAGAGGAGGAGGAGGAGGAGGAGGAGGAGGAGACAGAGCGTGCCAGCTCGTCTTGTTGCGATTCGCGCTGCCGGCGTTGCCCGCGGGAAAATCTCAGCCCGAGCGTGCGGGCTCGCTCTCGGCACGCTTCGCAGCCAGCCAGCTCTCTATCGAGCGCGATCTTTGTTGCTCCTGGCTCCTCAGCTGGGGAGCTCCTCCTCCTCCTCCTCCTCCTCCTCCTCCTCATCCTCCTCCCCCTCCTCCTCCTCCTCCTCCTCCTCCTCCTCCTCCTCTTCCTCCTCCTCCTCCTCCTCCTCGTGGGGGGGATGAGAGGGAGGAGCCCGCAACGTCTGCAGGAGGCACACCTCGAGCGCGCAGGGTCGCTTCCGGTGCGCTTCGCAGTGCCAGCGTTGTTGCAAGTAGGCTCGCCTTCGAGCGTGCCCATATGTGCGCGTTCCCCGTGCTCTCTCTGTGAGCTGCGCGACGCCCGCCGGTGTTTTCTTGGCAGGGGTATCAGGTCCGAGCGTGGCGGCACGTCCCGATGCGCACCGCGCTGTCAGTGTTCCCTTCGTGATGCCAACTCGGAGCGGGCTTGCTCGCCTCCGGTGCACTCGGCCTTGCAGAGTTGTCGGCGGTGGTTTCGTGCTGCGCAGAGGCGTTGATTCTAGGGAGTGGCGTGGAGTGTTCTGGTGGACTGGTGAGGAGGGTTGTGGAGTTTGAGCTCTCTCCGCCTTCTCTCAGCAGCATCCCCCTAGTTTCCCTGGCGTCTCTCTTCATCGTCTTCCCACCCGTTGGTCCTTTCTCCTCCCTCTCCTGGCCTCCTCGTCTCCCCCCCCCGGGATGACTCGGATGATCCGCTCTATTCAGTCGAATTGGTTCTTGGGCCACAGCGTGGGCCACAGAAGACCAGTCGGGGCATGAGAACCGTTGTTTTGGAGCTCTCGCCAAGCTCTAGCTGTTGGAAGTGCCTCGACTCCCCATGGCACGAGGAAACAGTGAAGGGAAGCTTACGTTTCTCAGTGACACGATGCGAACACTCTGCCGCTCTCTCCTCCGAAGACGTCCGGAGAGTTGCTCGCCGTCCTCCGCGTATGGTTTTTGCCTACGTGCGGGGTTGGTACGAGTTGCAGTGTCCCATTCCCCAAACACTGCTTGCACTTCGGGGGCCTCCCTTGTCTTACGCAAGGAACTGCAAGGGTATGGCGGGGTTTGGCCACGTTGCGGGGACGTGCCGACTTGTAGGCCCCTCGCGGGCGCCCCGCGCATGGGGGGGGGGAATGTCGGGTTATGGCCACGCTGCCGCCAGTGCGGCCTCGTGGGCGCATCGTGGGCGCCCCGTTCTCTAAGCTTGCACGACGCAGCTTTCGCGTAGCCGACACATTTCATTGCTTCCGTAGTTGCCAGGGTATTCTGTGCTTGCGCCACGCCGCGTCTGCCGCCAGTGCCGCCTCGTGAGCGCCTCGCGGGTGCCCCGTGTTCCGGGTTGCTTTCCCGAGGTTGCGCCACGTTGCCGCCCCGTCGCCGTCTCGTGGGCGCCTCGTTGGCGCCCTGTGCTCTGACCTTTTACAGTCGTAGCTTGCCTTCCGTTCCCTAGCCAATTGGTCGGGTGTGCCGGGCTTTCGCCATGCTGCCGCCTCGTGGGCGGCTCGCGCCTGGGTGGTACGCCCAGACTGCGCCACGCTGCCGCCCCGTGGCCGTCCCGTGGGCGCCCCGTGGGCGCCCTGCGCTCGGGGGGTCTGTCGAGGCTGAGCCACGTGGCCGCCCGTGCAGCCTCCTGGGCACCCCGCGCTTTTCGGGGGTTCTTTTTTCTCCCCGAGGCTGCGCCGCGCTGCTGCCCGTGCCGTTCCGTTTGCGCCTCGTGGGCGGCCCGCGCTCGAACCCTTCCTTTGCGCAGCTTCCACCGCAGAGTTTACACCTTCGCTGCTCAAGGCATCCGTTTGGCAGTCTGGGCCTTCGCCACTCTTCGGCGCCTCGTCGGCGCCTCGTGGGCGCCCCTTGCTCTCTAGGCGGCTTCCTCGAGGTGGCGCCGCGTTGCCGCCCGTGCTGCCTCGTGGGCGCGCTGTGTGGGCCCTCCGCGCTCGGGTGGTGTTGCCGAGTTGGTGCCACGCTGCCGGCCGTGCCGCCTCGTGGACGCCCTTGTGTTCGGGGCTGGCCTCCCGAGTCCTCGCCACGCTGCTGCCCGTGCCCTCTCGTGGGCGACCGGTGGGCGACCTGTGCCCTGATCTTGCACGGCACAGTCTTCATTTTCCCGAGATTCTTAAGAAGCGTCGGGGGGGCGTCACCTCCGCCGACAGCCCCACATAGATCCCCGTCGCGGGCCAAACCAACGCGCTCCGAGGGCGCCCCGACCCCCGTCGCGGCGCGACGACGAGGCGGGGTTGACTCCCGTGTTGGGTGTACCCCCCCACGCGTATCAAGACACCCAGAGTCCATTCCTACATGACACTTCGTTGCGCAAGTCGGGGCGCCTCGTGGGCGGCTCGCGGGGGGCGCCTCGTGGCCGGCTCGCGCCAGTGGTGTGCCGAGGCTGCGCCCCGCTGCCGCCCCGCTGCCGCCCCGTGGGCCGCCTCGGTGGCCGGCGCGTGCCCGGGCGGCATGCCGAGGCTGCGCCTCCGCGGCCGCCTCGCGGACGCCTCGGGGGCGCCCCGTGAGCGACCCGTGCCCTGAGACCTTGCGCAGCGCATCGTCCATCTCCTGGCGCGAGCAGCCGGCTGGGCAGCCCTGGCTTTCGCCGCGCCGCCGCCCCGCGAGCGCCTCGTGGGCGAGGCTCGCGCCCGGGCGGCGCGCCGAGGTGTTTGCAGCACGCTGCCGCCCTTTTGGCCGCCTCGTGGGCGCCTCGTGGGCGCTCTGCGTTTATGGAGGGGCATGTCGAGGTTGCGCAACGTTGCCGCCTCGTGGGCGCCTCACGGGAGCGCCGTGTGCTGTTTGCTGCGCTACGTTGCCGTCTCGTCGCCGCTTCGTGTGCGCCCCGTGAGCGACCCGTGCTCGTTGGCCACATGATTGATGCCACAGCGTTTGCACCAGATAGCTGTCACCTCACAGGCTACGCACCACAGCTCACATCACATGGCCTGCACCCCGTAGGCTCCACATCCAATTTACGCCGTCCAGCTTGCACGACATAGCTTCGACCGCACAGTCTGCACGGCACAGCTTCCACCATCACAGTGCAACACCGCATGCTTTGGGGTTCACGCTGGCGAATTTATGTGGTTTTCGATCCGAACGTGCTTGGTCCTTGCAACATGGTGCTGCCGCTGCAGCGTGGGCCTCATATTTACGATTGGGGCGTGGCTCCCGTCGTTCGGAGGGGCGCTCTCGCCCCAGTGCGGGCCGCTTCTCATGTTCCGACGCATTCCTCCTCCTCCGCCTCCCTCTGGTCATCCTGCTCCCCCTCGCTCATTTCACTCCAGCTGCTGCTGCTGCTGTTCTTCCTCGTCTTCCTTCCTCGTTCTTCTTCTTCCCCCCTGCTCAGCCGCCATCTCCTCCTTTCAATGTGCGCAGCTCCCCTGTTCCGACTGCGCGTCACGCGATTGGGGTCCTCCTTGGAGGTCCAAGCCCACCTCGACGCGCGCCAGCGGATAGAGAAAAACCGCGAGCGAAATGAAAAGGGCTGGGTGGTACAGTGCCGTTTTTAATACATGTTCCGCGTGCGGATCATGTATCATAAATACAGGGATTTAGTTTTCATCGCAATGGTGAGTGTATGCATTGCTTTATTAGTAAATCAATCATGTATTAAACATCCTTAAGTAAAACAATCCTATGTATTAGAAACTGCCCTGTCTGGGGTAGGGTGTCAGACCTTGCGCGAGCGCACCCGGCCTGCCGCCGCCCCCCCCCCTCCTCCCTCCTTCCCTCCCTGCCTCCTTCCCCTTCCTCGCCCCCTCCTTCTCCACCCCTCCTCCCTGCGGCCCCCCCCCCTCGGTCCTTCCCTCCCTCCTTCCCTCCCTTCTCCGTCCTGCCCCCCCTCCTCCTCCCTCTTTCCCTCCCTGCCTCCTTCCCTTCCTCGCCCCTCCTCCTGTTTCCAGAGCTCGCCGCGAGCATCTGGACAGAGTCCAGCGCGACGAGTTTCCCCAGTGCAGGCGACCTGAGCCTCAGGCAATGTCTTGAGCCGTGGATCTTATATTTTTCGCGACGCGAACGTGCTGCCCCCCCCTCCCCCTGGCGCGGCCCCGAGGCCTGGCGGGCACCCTGGAGTCCTCCGGCCTAGGCGCGAGCCGCCCGCGCCCGCGCCGGCGCCGCCGCGCGCCGCGCCCGCGCGCGCCTGCTGGGCGTTTTTCGCGCGCTTTCGACACAGGGCGGGTCCGAGGTTGTTGGCGTTTTCGTGTCGGTTCGCAGCGGCTTCGGCTTCGGCTCCGCCGGTATCCGAGGCTGTGCCTTCTCTCGGCCTCGCTCTGGGGCTCCGCCGCTTCCCCCCTCCCGCCTCTTCTCTGCCTGCTTCAGGCTTCGCGCGGGCCGCTCAGCTTCGACCGGAAGAGGTGCGCCCTCGACCCTTGGGCGCCGCGTCATGGGGGGGTCATAAACGGGGGGGTGGCGAGCGTGGTACCTAAACGAGCCCCCTGGGGTTCTGGAGGGGCCCGACAGGGGCACGAAAGGGGACCTTTACTGACCCCCCCCATGTGTGACCCTCCCATTAAGCCACGCCCAAGACCCGCGGATCAAACATCGTGTCGGTACGCAGCGGATTCCCAGCGTCGTCCTGCCTTCCAGCGGCTGCGCCTCGCCGGGGGCGCTCGCCGAGGGTGCTTTGGGGTCGGCCCCGAGCGGCCGCGGGAGCCCCGAGGCAGGACCCGGAGGCCTCTCTCTCGGGGTGCTTGGCGAACGATCGGCGCGGGGTGGCCTACAGTGGGGGCGCGTGCCAAGAAACCAGTTGGATTCTGTCAGGGTGCCCGAAGTTTCTTGGATTCCGATGGGCCCCCAATAAGATCTTGACGGTTCTCGGGCGACAAATTTTGATTTTCACTAAACAAATCGCGGATTTCAGGGTTGGGTTTCTTGCGGAGGTTTCTTGTGGCCGAGTCCCTACTGTACGCGGGTTGGGCATTGGCAGACTGGCGCCAATGAGGCGGGAGAAGAGGAGAGCGGCTGATGAGGGGGGGGCCCAAGCTCGGTGGTTCAAATATGGGGGTCCTGATGGACGGATGGACGGCGGACGGGGTCCAAGCGCGAGTTTACGCTATTTGGAGAACCTCGGCCTCAAGACCCCATCCCTCAGGACCCCACCTTCGAATCACCGATTCGCTGGGCGAGGAACTCAGGGCGCGAAGAGCCTGACGCCCGAACCGCGGCCAGATTGCTCCACGTCGGGCTCGTGCCCACGGGCGGTCCAGGGGCTGCTCCGGGCGGATGGGCTCTTCTTGAGCTCAGTTATGTCGTCACCATTTTCACGACGTCTGACCTCTCGCCGAGCGGAGTGTGGACATGCTCCCAATCACACTGAAGGGCGCGAGGACTGCGACGCAGCGCTGGAGTCACTCCACATAGAGAGATCAGGCGCCAGCTGCAGAGATTCGCCGAGGCGGTGGTCGATCCAGCCCATCAAGGCAACCAGCGGGCCTTTTACCAGTCTTTGCCCAGACCGTACGGCAACGAGTTCTTCGCGTAAAACGACGAACTGCGTCCCCTGGCCACCAAGCACGTTACCGACAAAGCGTCGCAAAGTGTCGGGAACTCCCCAATAGCAAAAGCACATACACATGTGTTTGGGGGACACGTTCGAACAGGGCGAGCTGGTCAAATCAGAAGGTGCGTTCGCGTGTTGTTGGGCCCGGCGCCCCCCCACCAGCGATGTCGACTACGAATTGGACCAGCTTGATCACATCGACGCCTTGAATGAACCCATCGGCGGTGCCGACATCGTTGGCAAGGCCAATAAAGCATTTACGAACGCTCATCACACGCATCAGCCTACACGTTTCGGTCACACTGCAGCGCCACGCCGCGGCCACGCGTGGGCGCGCCGGAACATATCACCGAATTGCGCGATGGGTACAAGTCAAGCCAAGCCTTTGCGGGCCCGACGCCACGCCCTGCGATGCGCAGCTACGCTGGATATACGTAGAGACGCAGCGTTTCGATAGGAGCAGCAGGACAGGGTAGACGCAGGAAAAGCCCTTCGAGAAACCACTTTTCCTTCGGATGGGTTGCAAGGGGCCCGCCGAGCAGTTTCCTTGCGCCCCCTGCTCAACTATTCAACGCCATGGCTCGGCAACGTTGAGCACTCAAGACAGTGATTCGACGCGCTGTTACAAGCGAGCTGACGACTGCGATCAGCGTTGCCGACATCGACCTCGCTTTAGCCACCGCGCTCCGCTAGGTGCTCGAGGGAATGCTCGGGCCAAATGCCGTGCATCGCCAACGTGGCGGTCAGCTGCCTGTAGCATTGCAGATCGAGCTGCGCGTGGACTAGAACGGCGCCGTCACAGTTGTGACATCTTCCTGGCCCGTGCCTTTAGCGGGACACTTCTGCCGCGCGTGCGGTGGTCAGGGGCCCTCTTGTGCCCAGGCCAACTATGGGCTTGGAGCGGGAAGGGCATGGGAAGCGCGCCCGTTGAGATCGTGGCCGCTTCGACCGCGCCGCGCTACGCGACGTCGCAGGTGGTCGGCGTCAGTCCAACCCGCGCCCCGCATTCTGTCTCGCGGGATTTGGCTGGCTGGCTGGCGTTCCTATCAGGGCAAGGGCGCCGGCCGACTGCCTGCGCCGACCAATGGTCGCTTGACCTTTCGCCGTGGACTTGCCCGTCCCAGTGGGCGACCTCTTCTTCCAAGCCCGCCCCAACTTCGGGGGTGCTGGGCCCGTGCGGCGCCTCGATCATGCAGGGCAAGTCTACGCGCGATTATCTCGTTGACCCGGAGCAGGAAAGTGACCCGCATGACGCCATGTGACAGACGCCCAGCACTTGTCGGCGGCAAGAGAATGCAAATGTTGATCTTGAGGTGGCACGTAGGTTCCAGGGGGCAGGAACGCGCAGCTCCATATGCATGCAAGACCATGCGGACATTTTGTTCAGAGCGAGAGAGGCGCGCGCCCCCACCCCCCCATCCGCGCGCCAGGCCTCTCGCCAGCGCCCCGGGGCCCTGTGCCGCTCGCCCCGCCCAGGTTCCCTCGGGGGCCGCATAGGCACGTCGGTCGGCTCGGCCGGCGATGCGCCGGCCGCGCCAGGTCCAGCCGTCGCCCGCGATTCCGCTAGAGGGCCGCGCGCGCGATGCCAGGCCCAAAGCGCACGCTGGCTCTCCGCGCCGCGGCCGCCAGCGCCCTGGCAGCACTCCGGCTGGGCAGCGCCCTGCGCCGCGTGAGCCGCCAGGCATTCACCGCTGCTTCCGCGGCTCAGCTGCTCGCGCCACCCCGCGCCCCAGGTGTCGGTCGCGCCCTGCGCGTCAATCCTGGAGACGCCGCCGCGAGATGGCGCGCTCGCGGCGTACGCGGCTGTTCCAGTGCCCGGCCAGGGGCGGTCAGCTGGCTTCCAGCAGTTTTAGGCGACGTCCATGGTCGCGACGCCGGGGCCCGCGGAGGTGCCGTCGACGGCGCTCCGCCCGACGACGAAGAGCTGGCCGCCCGGGAGTTCGGCGGCGCGCGGCGCGAGGACATCAAGACCATCCGAGACACCTTAGACCGCCGGCGCATCTCGGACAACGTGCCGATCGACATCGCGAAGCGGGCCCTCTGCGACCTTGGTAGCGCGGGCGAGATATTTCGCGCCAGTTTCGCCCGCGAGGCCAGCTTCGCGTCGCTGCGCTATTCTCAGCAACGCATGCGCGTCGGCCCGCTTGCAGCGGAGCGGCGCTGGCGCCCCGCAGGGTGCTATTTCCCTCGAGCTGTTCGCCGCTCGCCGCGACGCTCGGCGGCGCCGAGCGCGCGACCGCCGCGCGCGCGTCAGCGCCCGCGCCGCGAATGCCGCGTCCTTCTCGAGGGAGGAGATTTCAAGGCTGAGGGGCCATCCCCGGCAGACAACGCGGCGCGCCTCCAGCTGCGCCGGCCGCCCGCGGAAACGGCGACCCTCGATCGCGGTCGGCTTCGCGCGATCTCGCGGGATTCGCGGCCGAAGCTGTCGCGTGGGCCGCCGCTGGCGCAGCTTTCGCGCCAGCGGCCGCCGCGGTTTCGCAGTTCTGCCGGGGCAAGGAGAGGTTCGCCCCGATCGGCGGCCAGAGCCAGTCTTCCTTCACGAGGAACACGGGCTGCAAGGGCTCCGCCGCGGGCGGCCGAAGCGCCGCGTCGACGGCCTGCCGCGGCGAGGAGTTCGTTCGAGCCCGCGCCCAAGGGTGGCGCGGCGTTTCCCGCCGCCGCTGCCTCGAGCCCATTGCCGAGAAGAGAACGAGGCGCGGCGCGGGGACGGCGCAGCGGCGCCGCGACTGCCACGCCACGGCGCCGCGCTCGTCCCGCGACGCCGCGGAGGGAGAGGGTCAGAGTCAGAGCAGGAGGGCGAACCGCTTGGAAGGCCCGCGCCTCCGGCCCGCGCCACTCGACGCGAGGCGTCGCCTGGCCCCTTGGCCCTCTGAGGGCCCACGCAATGGCGCCCCCTCTTGCTGCGGCTACCCGTCGGAGTGGGTTTTCGTCAATTCCCTGCGTCTTCTGTGGCCCCCGCAGCCGCCGACGTGCTAGGACGTCTTGCGTCGTAGGGTTCCAGACGCTTCGGCCTGCGGCTCGGGGCCCGCGCCGCAGCGGCGGTGGTGGACTGGCGCCGCAGCGGCGGCAGTGGACTGGGGAGTTCCCGTGCCATGACCACGGGCGCGCTCTTGCGGATTCAGGCGTCTTGGGTCCGCTGTCCGCGTCGCCCAGCGCGCGGCCAGAGAGCGTCGGTCGATCTTTGTCGATTTGGGGTTAGGCGGTGGTTGGGCAGTTTTGGCTTCCCCTGTCGGCGTTCCCATTTCCTTGTCAGAGCTGTTCGATCGCCCGTGCACTCCCGACTCGGATGGATAAGCCGCCGCGCGGGTCAAATTCCGGAGCGAATACTGTTTGCGTTGAGACGGAAAAGTAGCGCTCCACTTCGCAATTTTAGCCGCGCGTTCTCTCTTGCCCTCGGCCTCGCCTTCCTTCCAGGGGTCTGGCGTCTTCTTGGGGCTTCCCTGGGGGCCTGCAGGAGTTCCCAGCAAATGGGGCCCGCGCGCGCAGAGGGGGGGTTCTTTCTTGGGCTGGGAGCCCAAGTGCGCGTCCAGCGCCGCCCATGTGACCCAATCGCGCCGCCGCTTGCGCCTGCTCCGGAGGGGCGACGG